GCTTTAGATTTCGGCTAAAGTTTAAAAATAAAGGACAAATTAAACACGAAGCACCCAACAGTTACAAGAATTCACCAGTACCAGGCAGCTCCCGCAGTAAATAGAAAGGTTCATTCATAGCTCCAGGCTTCCGTAGAGCAGGCCCTTCATCCCCGAGCTGCGGTGGTATCTGACCCGCCATGGCAACTTGGTTTTGCGGCATAGGCGGTGGAGGCTTCCCCGGTCCAAAACCCAGAGACGAAGAACCAGGTGGTCCCTGAGCTTCATTTGACCCGAAAAGAGTTGAAAACATTTCCGTCATATCTACCTTGAATAATACATTTATATGGAAAGAAAATGCCGGGCTCTTCAAGCTTATGGCCTGCTATCTGCGAGGAAGCTGTTCTCCGTGAATTCGAGTGTCAAGCGCTCTGCTCCTCACTTCTTTTCATGGCCACTTACCGTAATGCAGGCAACAAACACGCACTGTACCGTAACTGTCAGTGTAAACAGGACTATAATCACTAACAATTTCCAAAACGTCGTGTTTATTTTCAAACAAACAGGCACAGTAAACAAACTCATTATGTACAATTAAGTTAGTGGACATATTGTGTAATTTGGAAAAATCACACATCAAAAACATCAGCGGGGCAAAGAGATGACGCCAGCCTTTCAAACTCTGTCACTGATACCTAAAAATGAGAGATAAGAACACACATAACAAAACTATTAGTACTCAATTTATTTATGTTACAAGTAGAAAAGTTCTATAACAAGTTACCAAATAAAACCATTAAAGCTACACTGAGACTAAATATACTGAACATCCTCATTAGGAATGATAGAAACATAGAAAACAATAGAATAGCTACTTTATTGTTATTCAGATCATCAGTTAGTGCGCATTAGAATGCATTTTCAGTGCATTTTCAGTGCATTGACTCGCTTTTAATAATAATATAACAAATAAATCGTAAAATCTTAAAAAAGGACCTAAGATGTATATACACACAAATGTAAGAATATGAGAAAAAAGGTCTATAAACATGTAACAGCTAAAAAAAAGACTGTATGTGATCATCAAAATAAATGTACTGTACAAAGAATATTTTGTATATAAAAATCGAAATGACACAGTTTATACTTCCATACATGCTGAATATGGTTTTTTCATGGATCTTATTAGGGACAAGTCATATCTATTCTGCCAATTATCTACTCTCTCTCTCTCTCTCTCTCACCTTCCACTCATCAACAGCAGCAGAAATTCGGTGTTCAGCCTGACTGATGCTCTCTCTTCCACCCTGAACCTTCTGTGCTAGAGCAGAATTCTCTGCTTGAATCTTTTTCAGCTCCCGTCGCATGTAGGCCTCCTGCTTTTGATAGTACGGCATCAAAAAGCTGCAAAAGTCCTGCTCAGGGACCCCGCTTGGTCGCCTAAGACAACATTTGAGATGATGAGGGATTAAAATGCTTTGATTGTTAAAAAGCTGAAATAACACAGTGGTGATATGCAGTATAGTAAAGGAAGGCAATATAACTATAATACAAGATGCAAAGTTACCTTTTCAATCTGATTCACTGACTAAATGAAATTCTTAAATATACAGTTAGTACATTTAATGAAAAAATATTTCCACTTAGTTATGTTTCACTATTTAATTAGATTAAAAAATAAGAAAAGAGAGAATTTCAGCAGTTTGGTAAGAAAATGCACAAAGCATATATAATTAAATACTCAAGATTTCAGAAGTTCAAGTGTTTTCAAAGCGGTTTACTGACCATGCAGGGTCTGGACTGTCCTTGGTGGCTCTCTCTAGTTTGTCCAGCTCATTCAGTTTTAACTCTAGCTGGCCTTCTTCAATCAGTCTGTTGATATCTTCCTTCATGAGAAGGAAAACACAAACTTTTATGTAAACAAGTTTAAATAAAGACCAGTAGTAGATCAGTGAATATGGCATACAATGAGTATTTGGACAGCTATAGCCTATACAAATGTTGGTTTTGCCCAGGAAAGTTATTTGGTTTGTCCTGTTGAATGACAAAATGCATTTGTAATACTAATTTTACTGCTATCAGCAAGGAAATTGACAATAAATGTCATAAATGTAATAAATGTCATATACACAATGTATTAAAAAAAAGGTGTACCACACATACAGCCTAAGCAATACACAATGCAAAGGAGGCAAAAGTCCTCCCATTTGTTTGTTTTTAAATACAGAGTTTTAATGTAATATGCTACAGACCTGTATGGTGCTCCGCAGCTCCTCTATGAACTGCTTGTGAATGCTCTCCATTCTCTGAGGGTTCTTACTGTACAGTGGACGAAACATGCTGGCGAATCTGTTAAAACTGTGAGAGAACAGTGTGAACAAAGTAAAGTAAACTATGACCTTTCCTGAAAATGATAGCTAAGGAATAAGTAGATCATTAACATTATAAGACACTACTGCTATGTTAAAAGTACGTTTGGATAGGCCTTCTTTTTTGGAGGACAGGAGGGCAGTGGAATTATTTGGTTTTCATCTGTAAGTAAAATAATATACATTTAAAAAATAATCATAACAGAGTGCCTGTCTGAAGTGTTAAATTTGTCTAAACCAGAGTTCTGAATAATCGTATTATAGATTTCTTGCTAACAAACACCACAGGATCATTCCTTTGTCAATTTATCTCACTATCTCACATGTGCAAGGACAAAAAATCTGTATGGGAAAGATACACTTCTTAAAAAGAAATATGTCAAATTCAAGTCCAATATTTATCATAAGTGATCATAAGTAGTCTTCTAGATAACAAAAAATGTAAAATGAAAAAAAAAATGCTAGGGCTCTTAAACAGCCCAACCTCCATCCCTTATTTTTATTTATTTGTTAAAAAAATAATAATAATAATAATAATAATAATAACCCTATGATTTTGCACAATTCCCAACAAGCTTCCCTCTGTTTTTCCCCAGGCAGAAACACAACAGACTACACAAACTGCAAGTAAGCGTTCATCGAAAGTTTTTTTTTAAACTGGAGTTCATTAAATATTGAGCTTTAACACACTATATTTGTTAGTTTTACTTTTTAAGTCCCTTATTGTATTACTTTTTTTAAAATTAATCTCGCTATTCCAGGGTTTTTAAGCTATTAAGTTTTATGTTGTTTTTAATGCCTCGGTGTTGTCACACAATGAGTACCCTAAATTTAGGGCTAGATTGAGGAAATATCTTATATATACTCTTGGGGTATTCTAGGTTATTATACTGGAGTTTTATTGGCTCACTTGAGATAAATTAAGACTGTATGTGTTCTAATAATGAGATCTTCACACTTGGTTTACTGTTTATTTAATGACCACCAACTTTGTAACTATTTGATGAGAAACGTTCAAACCAGCTCTCACCCCTGTTTATATCCTTCGTGCAGAGGTAATATCATGACATACGTGTAGTTCACCGTAAAAACAAGGTAATAAACACAACACCCAACACGTTACCTGACATCTTCGATAAACCTGTTCAGGCTCTTCTGCATGACTTTGTCAAAAAGCTTCATCCTCTTGTACCGAGCCTCCGCCTCCGCTGTCGGTTTATTCGGCATCTGTGAGGAAGCTTCTCCTGTCGCTTCATTAGCCTGGCTTTCAGCTGAATCTTCCGCACCAGTTTTAACTGCACTGTGCACTTCTGTTGCTGACTTACTTTCCTCCATTTTTCAGCTGCCTCTGTTTATGTTTTGCAGCGCCCGCCAAATCTACGGCGAGCCGCCGGACCCAGAAACGACGCCGCCGCCCCCATTTGGCACATGCGCACTGTAACACCGTAGCTCAACAGCTCCAGCTGTCATTTCTCCTCCAACACTCTGTCGCGGTGGTTCGTCTTCTCCGTCAGCATGGGTTTACTCACGGGACTCTGCGCTTTCTTGTATCACTTACCTCAGATTTACAAATGGCTGCTCAAGCCGTACTATATCACGTCCTTCCTCTTGACCATCTCCTTCGTGGTGGTGCGAAAGACTCCAGGTCTTTGCGAGCACCTGGTGACCCAGCGCGAGGACGGCAACTCCTGTGACTTTGACTGGGTAAGCATAGTGGTGGTGGGGGAGCTGCGGTAATGCTTGCGGTTACCTTTGGTGGGGCTAATTAAGTCTCAGAAATATGAAATAAATAGAAGTAGTAAATAAACTTGACACAAAGTTGTTGTTTGTTTGTTTTAATGATTTTGCTCCTTTTGTTTTACAGAGAGAGCTGGAGATCCTCATGTTTCTCAGTGCAATAGTGATGATGAAGAACAGGAGAGCTAGTGAGTAGTCTAACCCCCACCACACACACACACACACACACACACACACACACACACACACACACTGTCTTATGTGTAAACCTACTGATGAAAGTGTGTTTACACTATAAACTGTCACATCACAAAAGGTGGCCCAATCAACCATGTGGCCAGTGATCCAAACCACTCAGCGAATCATAGGAAGCACCGGGATATGTTGTGATTTATTTGTTGACCTTAACTTTTTAGATAAAGTCAGGAAGGTCGCTTTGTTTGTGTCTTTATTACATGCTGCTGTTAATCTTTAACCACACAGTCTGATGTTTAACTGTTTCCACTCCTTGATCTGATAAGCCATTTGAGAGGAACCCCCACTCTACTGAGAACACACATCTGTAAAGTGATTCACTGTAAACTTTGGGTTTGTTGTGTAAACATTAAGGGAGTGGGAGGGGTTCACTTACACACTGCAAGGTCAACAGTATGAAGGTGTTCCTCTGCTGTTCATACATTGTTCCCTGCTCTTTGTTTCCTCAGTCACAGTGGAGCAGCACATTGGGAACTTGTTAATGTTCAGCAAAGTGGCCAACTGTATCCTCTTCTTCAGGATGGACATTCGGTTTGGCATCCTCTACCTTGCACTGTGCCTCGGTCAGTGGTCTGTCACAACCACCTTTAAAATTGTGTAGTGTAAACTGTGTCTACCAGTGGTTCTTAATTAGAAAAGCACAACTCTACTGCATTAACCATCCCCAGTCTTAAGGCAGTGATGCTGCACTCATTCTTTAGTTAAAGAGATATGTTAATGAGAATAGGAGTGGTCTTTTGTTTTGTTTTGACATGCCAAATTAATCAGCCCTCTGTATTCACCTTGTACTGATATCTAAAGCTCATCAAGGGGTTTCTCCTTGAGCCAGTGTTTCTGAGACATAATGTGCAACAGCAATTAGTTCCCATTTCTGTTACTGCTGTAAAAAATGATCATTATTTGATGTACTTGAAGCTCATTCCACTGATAAAAGTCCTCACACTTTTGACAAATTTTTCTTCATCTGAATACCATACAGTGGGAAGTCGGTGTTATCACTGTACAGAAAAGTGACATCACCAGTTTTCTTGTATATATTTAGATTATTTTCCAATGCAGGTGAGGTGCAATGAGTATTTTTACTCTGAAGTCCTGAATTTTTCATCTGGCAAAGATTTATGTATTTATTTTAAGAAAAAGCTTCACATCTTCTCTGTGAAGTGTTCTCCTGGTAAAGCAGCAATCTGAGCCCTGTTTAGAAACTTCTCTGAGATTTCTGCAATCAGAACTTTTTATTAACTGGCCTACAGGTGGTGCCATTGTGTAATTTACAACCCCCCACCCCCCAACAAAA